TAATATTGAAAAATAAGCCACTATATGGGGTGAGAAGGTGTGATGTATTCAGAGACTCTCTGAGGGCAACTAATGCATAGCATCTCTTTTTGTTGCCCTGACTCTAAATAAGTTGAGATATAAAGCAAAGGGGGAGAGGGAGAACCAAAACTAAACCCTATTGCTGCTGGAGGCTGAGCTGGAGGATGAAAGCTTAGGTCTGCTAGGCAAGTGTGCCTATGAAGAAGCCCATAATTGGTCAGGATCAGCCTACCTGGGCACAGGATGCTGTAGCACCTGCTGTCTCTGGAGATGCTGCAGAGAAAGTCTGCTCACTACAAGCTCCCAAGATAAGGAAGGATGGGCTGTGTCAAGGAAACTCAGTATCTCTTCCCACATTTACTCATCAAATACTTCAATCCCTTTCCTCCAGGGATAGAGTGAATAAAAGGGAGGGGGGAGAAAAGATGTCGCTTTTCCCTTGATATGCACTCAAGTGCATATCACCTGAGTCTCCTCCCCTGGAAGGAAAAAATCAGGGCTGGGGAGAAAGCACCCTTCCCTGGCATGTATCCAAAGGCATAGATGAAAATTGCAAATGTAAATAGATGGTTTTATAGCTATTTCATAACAGTCAACATTCCTATACCTACATTTTGACTTCTTTTTCTGATTATATCTTTTACGAGACACATCTAGAAGTGAAAATTCTACATCGAAGGGGGATATGCTGATTTACCCCAGTATAAGTAGTGTTTACAGTGTGGATATCTCACTCACTCATTTATTCACTCACTCTTTTAACAAATCTTGATTAAACACCAAGAACATTGCAGGCAATGGAGATGAGAGGGTGAGGAGAGAGATACCTGCTTCTCCTCACACAGCTTAAGCTTAGTGGGGGAGGCAAATGTTTAAATGTGACAAGTGCTTCTGAGAAAAAGTGACATCCAGCCTGAAACTGAGAACTGACCTAGTAAGGGCCGGTGGGTGGAGGGAGTGGGGAGAAGGAGCCAGGCATAGATAGGGAACTCCGGGACTCAGTTCTCAGAGACAGGGAAGCCTGCGGAACCATAGAGTTCATGGCTGAAATCTTGAGTTCTTTGTCTTAATTCATCTGTGGTTCACTTCAAACAAATCTTTAAATTTATTTACATCTTTAATTGAAAAAGGAACTAATTTCTATATTTACATCTTTAAAACCCTATTTGCACAAAATTCATTCTATGTGTTATTGGGTTTAATGCTTACTAGTGGTCATTTTATTCCACATCTTCTCTGTTTTTCATTTCTTTGTTTTATCTGTAGTTTGCTCAAGTAGAACTTCAGGCAAAATTTTCTCTCCAAGGTTACATGAGATATGAAAGAGATAATGATTATCTCTTGGAATTATGTCTTCATCCTTCAGAATACTACTACTACTACTAGTGCTACTACTGCTACCACTACTACTATTACTAATACTCCTAAAATCTCATCAGAAACTTCCTCTTTGTCTTGTTCTCTTTCATTCTTTTGCCCTGTACATAACGCCACTTTTCTATCTGCAGACTCAAGTTTTTCTTTAGTTAGGATTTTTTTCTCTTAAGTCTTTATCGATTTGTTCTATTTGTCATTATCTTTTCTTCAGAAAGCAAAATAATCAGCATGTTTACTCTCGGTTTCGTGCCCTCCATATAAGCATCGTATATATACATCATCACACAGCCCTTTTTTCTTTTTCCCTCCACTTGGGAGGATTCTTCAGGTGTCTTCTAAATTGCCGAATTCATTTTTCTGCTCTGTCAGATCTACTCTTTGCTATTTCTAATATTGATTTTAAAACTTGGTTTTATTTTAGATTTCTTACAATCTTTTAATCCATCCTGCTCTTAAAACATTTCTGTCTTCACCTCAATAGCTGAGCTGTTAACTCAGCTCTATTTTATGGGCAGTAAGTACTGTGGTTCAGATTACACACTGTGGATCCAGGCTGCATGGGCTGCATCAGCGTTCTGCCACTTGCTAGCTATGTGGCCAGGCATACTTTGCATAGCCCATGCCTCCGATTCCTCATCTGTAAAATGGGCACAATAATATGCTTGTTTCATCAAGCTGTTGCAAAGACTGAGTCAATTCATGTAAAACATTTAGAATAGTAAGTAGTCAATAACTTAGTTTCTAATTAACCTATAGTCTATATTTTCCTAAATTATTAAGAATAATTATTTAGAATTTCATCCAGCTATTGTTGCACGTATCAGTATGTGTGTATGTGCATGCATGTGTGTGATTTTGTTTACTTATCCTGTAAGTTTACCTATCCAGCAAGTTTACTCAGTCTTAATTTTTCTTAATTCTTTCCATAATCCAGTAGGTTGCCCTTGAACCTATCATTAAATGGATGGACTGGCTGGTGTTTATTTCCTCTAGTTAAATTTCTGGCGGTTGCAGTATTTGTTTAGTGTGGTCTCCTGACCAAGCACCAGAGTGCTTGGTCCTGGGCATTTTAATACGGTGGAGCTTAAGGTTGGCCTATCAGAAGCCATCTATACTTCTTCCTTTTCCAGGAATAGGGAATGACAATGACAATCCCCAGCTGGCATTGCCCCCACAGCTCTTCCAGCTTCAGCTCCTACCACTTAGTCCTTTACACAGTAGTTTCACAGCATCACTTCTAGTATCTTTACCCCAGTTACGTCGTATTGCCAGGGACTGTTGTCTTAGGGAGAGGGAAATTAACGGGGCATGAAATGAATGTGGCCACTCAGAAAGCAGCACCCATGTGATAGACAAGTAGCTTCTCACCTCTTTATTGAAAAGGATTCTGTATATGTGAGCCAAGTGTTGTAGTCAGTGAAGATGAAAATCCTCAACTCTCATGTTTTGTATCTTTTTATCCTCTTGAAGAGAAGGTATCAGATAGTGGTTAAGAATTCATAGTATGGACTTAGACAGACATGGTTCAAATTCCAGCTGATTGCTGAGTAGGCCAGGTAAAATCAAATAATCTCTTTGAGCTGGAGTTTCTTCATCCATAATAAATGGACATAATAAAGATAATAAGGTCTGTCCCATATTCACGTGAGGTTTTAAATTAGAGAGTGTTCAATAAATGGCAGCTATTATTACCCTGGAAACATCCCTCTCCTTTCATCAGCTCCCAGCACATCTTTGTCATTCCTGTAGGGTTTGGGGCTCAAGACCCAGCCCTCAGTTCCTATAGAAAGCTGTGAAACTGTTGAGAGGTGCTTAGGAGGTAGTCAATAGTAGGTGGCAAAGAGAGTGGTGGAGGGTTAGGGCTGATGTAGATGATCAGCTGAATTGGAGACTGAGGCACACAAATTGTCCAATGTCTAAATCCCAGAAATGATTGAGGACTCTGCAAGACAACTTATCCCCAGGGATGCAGAACTCAACGAGTCCTCTCTCTGGCTCCTGCTCTGGCATTGACACATGCCCACTCTTGGCAATCTACATTTCTGTTTTTCCTAAGTAGTAGCACTTTCTAGACAGGAGGCATCTCCCTGAATGAAGAGACCCAAGGGGTTCAGGCTTCCATCTCTTTATGACTGCAGACCTGGAGACCTTTTCTTGTTTATTCTGGATGTCTTTACTGATCCTTAAGGGTCTGGGGTATAAAAGGGCTTATCTCACCAATACTGCCTCCTCCTTTTCAAAGCCAGAGCTTGATTGTCTCTAGTGGTACCAACACCTATAACATTTCAAAATCATTTTAATTGCCTACATTGGGGAGCTTTTCTTATACAGCATCTTACTTGCCTTTTTAAAAACCTTATATACTTTACCTAGTGCTTTTCATATATTGTAGGAGAGATAGCATCCCCCAAACAACTCTTTTATTCCTCTCTCTAAAATAGAGACAGAGTTGGGAATTCATTTCAAAAAGGGCAATCCATTACATTTATATAATAGCTATTATCCTTGTCCTGCTAGTTTGCCACAGGGCTTTATATGAACTTTGGGTTAGAAAGTACCTGTGGATCCTGACAGATCATCCTCTGATATTTCCAGTGCTGTTGAAACTTTTTATCTTGGTGTTTTCATGAGAGCAAATTAAGAATCACTAGCCTTCCAATAGCTTATCGCAGATTCCCTCATGCACAGTTATGGAATGGGTAATTTTTGGTCTTTGAATAGAAAATGTTCAATTTATGTAAATTTTTATAAATATCTTGAAGACTAAGTTAATAATTCCTTGTAATCTTACTTTCTCTTTCAGCTAAATTTTATTCTGTTTCTGAATACAGTTAGAGTTCTGGCTACCAAAATTTGGGAGACCAATGCAGTTGGGAGTGATACAAGAAAGCAATACAGGTAATTCCTGGACACGCAACCATCAGAGGAAATATTTTGGTTACTATTTAAAGAATAGACATCAATTGATGTGAAATGTCTTTAAGAGATCAATTTATAAACATATATTTTTTGTTTGGTTCAATTGTGTGATTTATCAGAAAAGCACATATGCTTTAGGAAAATATAAGTAACCCAAAACCTACCCAATGTGCTTAAATTCTAAATATTTTTTAAATCTGTTCTTAGCAGGTGGGAGTTTCCCACAAATGATGTATGAACTCCCAGAAAATCTCTTGTTGATGATCTTGGCAGACAATTTTATCTGCGTTCTAAAAATATGCCATAACTGAAAAAATCAAGAATTTTTTTCAAAATGAAGAAAACCAAGAAATTCGCTGTATTGTTTTCAATCTTTCCATCAAATTGGCTCCTACCAAAGATAAATTTTTGAGAACTTTCAAATGAACTGATTCAGAGAGGTCAGTCCATTCTTCAGTCTTTCCTGAAGAAAAGAATAAACTGAATATTTATGATCATCATCAAACTATCTTAAGGGCATGTCCATTTCTCATAGTGATTGTTTTGGAAGTTCTGAACAATAATACTGTCTATCCAACTGGATGCATACATCCAGTAATCAAGTGGATGTGGATTTGGCTTTATAATTCTAAAGCAGGCAACTATTTCTTTCTGCGTCAGATTGTTATGAAACGCTATCTCAGACACAGCAAGGAAGAAATCATAGTTAGCATTTTTTTTTTAAAAGCCAGTCAAATTTAGCAGCGAGGGGTTGAATACCAACTTTAGTGACACTAATGTTAATAAGTTCTGATAACCCTCTATCATTGGACCAGCCCATAGTTAGCATTTTGATTCTCTCTCACAAATCTTCGCTAAGTCCTTTGTGGATTTATTCCTCTCCATCGTTCATAAAGGTAGCACTTACTGTTGAGCTGCAAAGACTAAAGGAATGGCCTGGAGTCTAAATAGGATGCGCAGTAGTAACAAATCAGCAGCTGCTGGCTGCGGTTATTTTCAATGTGCAGCAAGGGGTAGTACTATAATATAAATTGCGCGTAAGAGTTTATAGTGAAGGGCCTATGCTATTGCTTGTCTCATGCCACATCCCATCGGCAAAAACAAAGGCCAAAGGATGATAGAACAATGGAAAATGTAAATAACCTTTCATTCATCTTCATAAAGTGAAAAAGTGCAATAGTGTTTGGAAGCTACTTATTTCTCTGGTTCTTAACAAAAGCTGCTTATTTCTATAGTTCTGAATGATGTGAACTTACACTTCTAGTAAAATGTTGTGCAAGAGATATGAAAAATTTTGGAGAGAACAAAGGGTGGCTTATTTTAAAAAATGGATAGAACTGACAATATTTCGAGTTAATTCTGGGAGATTATTTCTCAGAATAATTGAAGAAGATAATTTAGCAGTGATTGAAATCATCTACTACTCAGAATTCAGAATAATTTTTAAATAATCTGGTGACCAGAAGTTTTTAAAGTTTGAAGTGGTTAATTAGAACAGTCAAGACTAATAAAAATCATGGAAAGTATTTTTCAGCCAAATACATTTTTTTTCATAGCAGAAACATATTAACTATCCTTAATAATGTCCAGAGATAAGCCACAGATAAAAATGTAGTGAGAGAAAAATGTGGGAACCTACTTGGAATCAATTTGGGAATTCAATTCAGTATTTACTTTCTGAGGCCTTAAATGATCAAATTTAAATAGCATCTCACTTTTTAAATAGACTTAAGAAAATTAATCTGTATCTCTGTCTCAGTGACATTCCTACTATGAGGGTTAATTGACTATTTAAATTCACATCAATTTTTGTACCTTTAAACTTATATTTCATTCTGTTATTACTTTGCCTAACAAATGTTCAAATATGCTTGCTAAGATAAAACAATAAAAATATATTTCCAAATGGTGGCACCTAAAACAGTTATTAAGCATATTTCTACACATACTACTATGAAAAATGAAAACATCTTTCAGAGCTGAGATAGTCTCTCCAGATGAGCATATGCTCACACACAAAGACTTCTGAGAAGTACATGAAATCCCTTAGTTGATATGGTGGTTTAAAATTGAAATGAATTAATACAGTTTTTAAAATAACTTTTTATTTTGAGATAATTATATATTTACATGCAGTTATAAAAATAATAAGGAGAGATCCTGTATATCCTTCAACTAGTTTCCCCCAATGGTGACATAGTGTATAACTATGGTTTACAATCAGTTATTTTAAAAAAACATAGATGTGAAGAAAATGAAATAATCTATTGGATTTAAAAACAGAGACTTTTTTTTTCAGATTACAACTTAATTCCTTTGCAAAGTAAGGAAAAGTTGCCAGGACTGGAAAAACATAAGAGATACAAAAAGTGCAAGATTCATTGTAAAAAAATACCTTAATGTTTTGGTTAATTTGACTGTTCAGTCAATATTAGACAAAAACCCCATATTAATGTTTATTATTTTTAGAATAAATCCAACCAATGTTTATTATGCAGTGATAGTAAAAAGGACAGATTTTAGGGCTGAATCACCACTTTACTGTGTAACTTTGGGTGAGTACTTTCCTTCTCTGAGCCTCCCTCCTCACCTAGTAATGGGATAATAATAGATCTCTCACATGGTTGTTATTAATAAAATAAAATGAGGCAACCAGCACAGGATGTAACAGCAGTGTGGTGCTTAATAGCCAAAAGCTCATTTGCTGAGTGCTCTCCTTGAACACACAATCTAGTGGGGAGGGGTGTGGGGAGATAAAAGTGGGAGAGAAAGACAGATCTAGGGACTGATTTAATAAAGTGAGGAAAGTACCAGTAGAGATGCCCAAGCAAAAGCCATGTGTGTAGAAAAGAGGGAAAGTTAATTCAAGGTCAGGAGGGATCAAGAAAGGCTTAAGAATAATAGTATTTTTTTTAAGCTAAATTGACTCTTAAAATGAGAGATTTCCCAGAGCTATTCACCTGGGGAAAGATCACCTTGGGAGAAATTCTGCAAGAATTGGGAACCTATTCTCTAAACAGGACACTGAGTCCCCAGACCATTTGACTCCTTTGTATTCCTCTTATGGCTTTGGACACTGAGCTGTCACCGTTTCCAACAAGCCAGAAGACCACTATCAGTTGGTACCTTCCTGACTCATCTCATCAGACAGCTGTGCATTTTCAGATAGCCAGGCTGTAAAGATGTACAAACAATGTGCATGGGTGACCAGATGGACACTGAAAAAAAAAAGCAGTGCCTAGGATGGCTGTGTAATTTGAACTGAGTGGAAAAGTCCAGCTTACTAAGTGACTAGACAGACAGATGACCCATGTATACATTTGCCTGGCACATGCCACTATAACTCATTTGCTGCCATGGAAGGATACATTTTAAAAGAAGAAATAATCATAACTCATACAAATATAAATGAACATACTTCAAATATTTTATTTAACTCATTAATTAATGAAGGAAATGATATTACAACTGATTCAAAATAGAACTCAACATATATTCAGATAATGAAGGAGGAATTGAATTTATAAATGGATGCAAACTAGCAAAACTTATCAACATCCACAGGGTTATAATTAGTGGCATTTCACTGGACAGGATTTATGTTTCTATGGATAGGAATTCTTTGCATTGCTGTGGTAGGCATATTTCTAAGATGGCCCCAGAGATTCCGGCCCCTAGGTGTACATGATTGTATCATCCCCACCACACCCCATACCCCTTGCCTTGAGTGTGGGTAAGACCTGTGATGAGATAGACCTCTCCATGGATTAGTTTATATTATATGGCAAATAAAGGTGATAGGATAGTCACTCCCATGATTATGATATGTTATATAAGACTCCATCCTGGCAGCCTGGAGAGACATTCTCCTGCTGGCTTTGAGGAAGTAATCTGAGAGGTTGTGAGGGCCTCTGGCTAGAACCTAAGAGCAGCCTGTAGGGACTGAGTGAGCCCTGGCCAACAGCCAGCAGACAGCCTGCAACTGCAAGGAACTGAGGTCTTCTAGCAATCAGAATGAGCTTAGAAGTGAACCCTGAGGTCCAGATGAGAATGCAGCCCCAGGTAACACATTAATTTCACCCTTGTGAGCCTGTGAGCCGAGGACCCAGAGTATGTGCCTGGACTCCTGGCCTATAGAAACCGAGAGTTAATAAATGGTATTGTTTTAAGCCATTAAATTTGTGGCAATTTTTTATACAGTAAGAGAAAATGAGTATAATTATTATCTGTTTTCTGTAAATTAACCTTTATTTCTACAGAGTTGTAAAGAGCTTAGTCATAGACAAAGAGGGAAAAAACCCAGATGGCTGAGCTAGCAGGATACTCACTAAATTTTTGTTGCCTGAGGCAACTTCTTACTCTGCATTGAACCAAGCTGTCCCTAAACGTTTACATTTGTTATCATTTCACAATGTGTTGCACTGCTTCATTTTTTGTTTTTACCAAGTTTTTGACTCCTAGCCATACACAGTAGGAACAGTGAAAGTTAGTTTGATTTTGAGAACAGTCTCCAGGGGGATTTACCCTTTCATCTTAAAGGAGGACGTATAATTTTCTTTTCAGAGTGATGTTAGACAAGACTCTCAAGGTTCTGCAATGCAGTTAATGCTGTCCCCTTTGTCTGATTAGACTGAATTACAATGCCTTAAAGGTGCTCAAAATGATCTGTGCCTATAGGCAATGACAGAAGGAAGGTACTCACCAGTCAGAATTCTGGAGGACAACAAGCATATCCCAAGGAACTCTAAAACCTGAAAGGATTAGTTAGCTCGGAGAAACCCACTGCTTATCAGGAATGCTGTCTTGAGAGCAATGGAGTTAAGGTAGAATTTTCAAACTGAATGGACTGTAGGTAACTTAAGGTACAAGGTATGAGGATAGGAACAGCACAGGAGAAAGCTCACAGGCTTGAAGGGAAACTATGTGAGACAGAGTGGGTGGCCCTGAGCCAAGAGGAGCAGATGGTCAGGGCACTAGTGAGAGATAAGGCGGGCAAAGGAGAATGACACGGAGCAAATGTACAACTCCAGACATTTAAATTAGGCATCCTAGTATGATTTTGTGGGACACTCCCGCTCCTGTAGGGGTTGACAAAAGGGTTATGATAGGAGAGTGTATGTATGTAAAAGATGATCCCTAGAATATTAGAGTTCTTATAAACTTCTGGGCCCCATTTCCTCATTTTACAGATAAGAACACTAAATCATGATCCCACAGGTAGTTAATGTTGAGTCTAGAACCTTAATCAAGTTCTCTGTACTCTTACAAAGCTTGTTTCCAAGAAGAAAAATAAATAAATAAATAAGGCTGGAGGAATCTGGGCATAGGTCCTCTGCTTCAGGGTCTCTCACAAGGCTGCAATTGAGATGTCAGTTGGGGTTGCAGTCTTATTGTAAGGTTGGACTGGGGAAGAAGCTATCTCTAAGCTTGTATGATTGTTGGCAGGATTCAGTTACTTACTAGCTGTTGTCCAGATGTCACCTTTCCTTGCCACGCGGGCCTCTAAACAGAGCAGCACACGACATGACAGCTTGCTTCATTGAACCAAGCAAGGGAGCAAGTCTAGCAAGAGAACAGTTACAGCCTTAAGCAATGTAATCACAGTAGTGGCATGCCTTCTTCTTTGCCATAATCTATTGGTCGGGGGAAGTCCCAGGTCCCGTCTACACTCAGAAGGAAAGGATTAACAAGGGCAGTGGGGATCATTGAGGGCTATGTAGAATAAACCCATTATATTGAAAAGCCTGGGATTCCTCAAAATACACAAGAAAATATGTATAATGAAGCAGTTAAGGAAAATGTCAAGCTACTTAGTTTGCAAAAATAAAAAAAAACTAGACAAAAGAGAATTATCAATACTTTGAGATATTTGACAAAATATTCAGATAAGGCAAGAGAAATTGACCACATGTGGCTCATCAGAAAATGTGAAATGTCTCCAAGAATATGCATAATCAATGGCAAATGGAGAGCCAAATGTAAGAAGAAAAAAGGGAGTAACTGATTTTAAAATGAATGAAAGACAAAATGCTCCTATAAAAGTAAAGGCAGTTAACCTGGAAAAAGGTAATACTTCTTTAAGTCTCTAATGTAGAAGTTAAAGAAGACTCACGATGGAAAAAAAAAAAGGCATCTCACAACTTTATGCAAAAAATATCCTTTAAGCAAGAATAGTGGAAATGAGACTAGAAAGATTTAGGGGATAACACTTATGGGAAGTGAGAATAAACTACCTGATTTAGTATAAAAGTGATGGGAAGAGGAGGGAGGGGGGAAAGGTAGTAGAAGTGGTGGGATCCAAAGAGATAGAGAAGCTTAATTTTTCCAGCAAGCTATAGCTACTGAAGGGCACTCTAGTTGATTAGTAAAAAGGCTTGCTGTTTTTTTCAGGAAACTGGCCAAATCCACACTGGTGCTGGTCCTGGTGTTTGGAGTGCATTACATCGTGTTCGTGTGCCTGCCCCACTCCTTCACCGGGCTCGGGTGGGAGATCCGCATGCACTGTGAGCTCTTCTTCAACTCCTTTCAGGTGAAGACTGCTGCCTAGTCATTTGAACCTTGTAATTCGCTTTCTTTTTTCTTCCTGGCAATGTGTTTCTCTGCCCTCTCTCTGGCTTTGATGCGCCTGTCTCCTGGGGGCCGTGAGAAAGTGATATTCTATGATGCCTGTGCTTTTCTGTCCTACAGAGTTCAGGTTAATCCTCTGCTCACAGCTGGAGCAGTTCTGGAGCTGTGTGTCACACAGACAAGCCTGGGTGGAGAGATAATGAAACCTCTTGTAAAATATGTAACACATACAGAGCAGGGACCTCTGCTTGTGTGTATGGAAAATAAACGAAAGTGACTTGGGCAGGGCAAATGCAATAGATGTAATCCAAATGTTTGTACTCCCATAAAAATTTTGAAATAAAAAAATTTAAAAATAAACAATATTCTGGAGTGGTAAAAAAAAAAAAGGTGAAGGCAAGGAAGAAGACAAAAAAGGGGAAGGCGTAAGGGAGACAAAAAGGGGATGAAGTTGCTGCCACGCATTTTATCTCATTTGAAATGTGATTACCATCATCTCTCACATGCATTACTGTTCATCCTGCTTACTCATTTACTGCCATCTCCTGCTGCCTTAAATCTAGTCCATATACAATAGTCGGAAGAATCTTAAGAATATAAATTTGATCATGTCACTTACTTGCCCGAAATATCTAAAGGCTTCCTACTGCACTCAGAATGAAATTCAAATGCCATCGTCTGTCATACACAGCCCTGCGTGGCGTGCAGCCTGTCCAGCTCTCACCCTGTCTCATGCCATGCTCCATGTAGCCCACTAAGTTAGAGCCATGCTATCCTGCCCCACTTCCTGTTCCTCAAGCTCATTCTACCTCAGGGGCTCCCACTGGCTGTTTCCTTTTCCCCTATAGTCACACAGCTGGCTTCTTGTTCTTGTCACTAAAAAAAGTTTCTTTATGTTCTTACCACATAAGACTCTATGTCTGCAGTTTTCAGCATTCACAGCTTATAAATATGTCTTTTGACCAAGCAGGGGATGGACGTTATGTGATCCTTGAATGACGACATAAATAAAACTACTATAAGAGAAATTTGTTCTTTGTGTATCTTGGAGTGTTTTATTCAGTGACTTGTTAGGTTCAGCTGACACCAAGGAAAGATCTCAAACAAATTAAATGTAAACTTAAGGAGTTGGAGACATTAGGAGATAAGAATTTGTATAATTTTCTGAAGTAATCATAAAAAAAACCCAGTTTTTCAATGTATACACTTTGACACAGGAAACTCTGGTGCTGTGAGCTTCGTGAATTGTCGGTGGACTAACATTCTTTTTTGTTTGTTCTGCAGGGTTTCTTTGTGTCTATCATCTACTGCTATTGCAACGGAGAGGTAGGTTTGTAGGAACCTTGGACATCCCATAGGTCTTGCTCCGAGTAAGCTCGTAAATAGTTTTTAAATTCCCAGAATTTACAGGACAGAAAAGGTGGGGAGAAGGGAGCTATTTTAATCATGTTATTATTTTGAGAAAACAAGAATTAGTGTAAATAATCTAAGGTCTTCTTCTTCAAGCACTTTTAAATGTCAACTCAGTTGTAAGCTCTGATATTTAAAAACACCTTCCTGGAATACAAATCAATACTTGGATGGACAGGGAACTTCATATCTTAATACTTACACTTAATAACTTAATACTTACACTTACATTTCATTTCAAGTAGAATGTAAGAAACTAAAATGTTTCCCTGTGACAAATCCATTCGAATATTTTGATATTTTTTAAACTACAAGATGATGCTGGGACAATATCAGTTTATTTAGGAGTTGGCCAGATAGAAGTAATCACGTTGTATAATACATTTTACCTTGTAATTTTTAACATATCCTGCTGTTGGATGAGTTGCTACCTTCCTTCTCTCAAATTTTAAACTTGCTGCAAGTCTCAGAAGCACAAGGTTACTTGTTCTTGCTATAGACCAGCTGACGCTTCTGACTATGTTTAGAGTTTGGACATTGTGATGTGCTAGTCCAGTTTTTGCAGAAAGAGCTTAAATTTAGTAGTAATTCATTAATTTCCTGACTTAATTCTGTATTGTTTTTACCTCATTTGGCAGGAGAGGTGAGTAGGCCAGATGTTGATTTTTTGACAAGATGAATAGATAGGAGTTTGTTGTTTCAGGTGACATCAGCTTACCAGTTTCCACTAGTTCCCATGGAATTTCCAAATAAGCTCCCTTCCAGAAAGTGGCAATAGAAGTAGAATGGAATCTTCACTAGTAGGAATGGAAACAAGAGCCCCACCCTATTAAGAATGCATTTGCAGTGTCTGCTTTTCTATGTACAATCCTTTCCTCGTTTTTCCTCCTTCGGTATGCCTATGCAAATTGATAGCTTGGCAGTCACATTTCAAGTGGAGTGCCTTCTATGCCTCAGCCTCAGCTGGTGTCATTAACTACTGACAAGCAGGGGAAAGAGCAGAGCCTCGTTCCAATTTGGGCAGAGGTGATTTGGGCATTTTAAAGGGAGGAGGGAAGGGGCAGTGCAGGGGCTCAGTAGAGTCAGAGAAGTGAAGGAAGTACAAAGAGTTGGTCCGTGTGAAGGGGAACAGGCCAGCTGAGCCTGCTAGCAGACAGGTGTCTAAGTTAGGATTCTATCCTCCCACAGAGACCGGGAGACTGGGGCCTTACCCTTCCTGATGACTATAATACATTTTAAAGGAATGTCTCTCAGGCCCTTGAGAGAGACATTTCTGAGTTGTAAGAGCTACATGTTTACAGTTGTGAGCCCCTTTTTGGTAAGTGCTCTAAGAAGGGTGATGGGAGTGGTCACAGGCCTATCATCAGGTGTGTGCTATCTAAAGCAAATAGTAAATTTCTCTGGCGGCATTGAGTGTCCTCAGGCAGGCACTATAAGGGGGCTGGGATCACCTTAGCTAGGGACGTGGCCTCATGCTGCTGGGAGCCATGCTAAAGAGTTTGGTCAGGTCTCTCGATGCAAGGGTTCCGACAGGGTTGTCATGTGCAAGTGAGAGCCTGGTGCTATTTGTAGTATCTGTTTCTCCTGCAACCCGGAGTCCTCTTTTTTCCTCTCCCATAAGTCATACATTTCTATCAGCTGTATGTCAACTTCTATTTAAATTGTAATCTTGGATAAATCTCTTTACCTCTCTCTCATCTTCAGTTTACTCATTTCCAAAAATAATACCTATCTCGAAGGTTTTTGAGGCAGCCAGGGAATATATATGTGAAGTCCCTGGCACAGAGGAACCTCAGTCCACGGTTATGACCATCGTTGAAGTCAAGGCGAACATCCTCGTACAGGGTTGCAGGTGCCCCTGCGATTCCTGATGCACGTGTTTCTTGTGGCTTAGGTTCAGGCGGAGGTGAAGAAGATGTGGAGCCGGTGGAATCTCTCCGTCGACTGGAAGAGGACGCCGCCGTGCGGCAGCCAGCGCTACGGCTCGGTGCTCACCACCGTGACGCACAGCAGCAGCAGCCAGTCGCAGGCGGCGGCCAGCGCGCGCATGGTGCTGGTGTCGGGCAAGGCGGCCAAGGGCGCGGGCTGGCAGCCCGACAGCCACGTGACGCTACCCGGCTACGTGGGGAGTAACTCGGAGCAGGACTGCCTGCCGCACTCCATCCACGAGGAGCCCAAGGAAGGTTGTGGGGAGCAGGGCAATGATATTCCGATGGAGGCGTCTTCCAGGCCTGTGGCATTTAACCCAGACACTGAAGGATACGGAGGAGAAACCGAGGATGTTCTCTGAATCAACACTTGTGGCTTGAACGGGCTGGTCCCTTTGGTTGTGTGAGCGAAGGTTGTCTGGCATTCCTTGGCTTGAGCCTGAGGGCTGAAAATTCAGGGTTAGGGTGTTACTTAAAAGTTTATGTGCTCCATGCTCTTGTATACTTCTGGACAGAGCTGGAACGCATTCTATTAAGTGAAGTATCCCAAGAATGGAAAAACAAGCACCACATGCACTCATCATCAAATTGGTATTAACTGATCAACACATAAGTGCACATATACAAATAACATCTATTGGATGTCGGGCAGGGGGGAGGGGGAGGAGGTGACGGGTATTTGCATACACAAAGAGTGCAATGCGCACCATCCAAGGGATGGACACGCTTGAAACTCGGACTTGAGGGGGAGGGGGGAGGCAAGGGCAATATATGTAACCTAAACATCTGTACCCCCATAATATGCTGAAATAAAAAAAAAGTTTATGTGCTCCATGAATTGGCTCTTATAAATCCTAAAGACACAAAAAGGGAAATGACAATGGAGTAGTTTATCACCTTATGTTGGTGTCAGATTCTCCTCTAGATTCGTGTATGGTACTTGCTCTGTGATTGTTCTTTTTTTTTCCTGCTACTTTTGGGTGGAAAAAGTTTCAGTTGCTTGGTTCCAGCTTTCTCTCATAAATATCAGCCTAAATAGGATAAAAATAATTTAGTATGTGTCATTTTCCTTTTAAGAAATGTGCACTCTCTTCTTGTCTTTCTCACTTTAATGTACTATCACTGCATTCGTTTTGCCTGTGCATGGGAGCAGTTAGGATCTGAAAAATGTTTGTTGAAAGATAAAAGATCTAAGAACAAGTACTCACTGGAAGATGAGTTGGCTGGACATTGATAAAATAATGAATTTATGACAATTAAACTTGTTTCTAGAAAAAGGAAAATCTCTCAAAAAAGAATATTTCACATAGCCCTCCTTTTGAATGTCCCCTTTGTGTTCAGAGATCAGTTCTTCACTCCTTCTTTGTAAACCATGACATGCAGAAAGGTTTTCTCAATTAGTGAGCCTGTGTCTGCAACTGATTTTATTTGTAATCATTTATATTGATAGTAAATCACACTGCATCTGTATCTTTTTCTTGTTTGATCTGTTACTATATTGCACATGGCATGTGGGATGAATTAAAAGTTTGTTTTAAAAATACATTTCGGGTTACTTTTTATTTATTTATTTATTTATTATTTTTTTTTAATTTCAGCATATTATGGGGGTACAGATGATTAGGTTACGTATGATGCCCTTACCCTCCCTCCCCCCAAGTCCGAGCTTCAAGTGTGTCCATTCCCCCAGAGGTACGCATCGCACTCATTGTTTGTGCATATGCCCATCCCCTCCTCCCCCCTTCCCCTCTCCCCCTGCCCAACATCTAATACATGTTATTCTTATATGTGCACTTAAATGTTGATCAGCTAATACCAATTTGATGGTGAGTACATGTGGTGCTTGTTTTTCCATTCTTGGGATACCTCATTTAGTAGAATGTGTTCCAGCACTTTCCAGGAGTATATAAGAGGTGCTATATCACCATTGTTTCTTAGAGCTGAATAGTACTCCATGGTATACTTTTTAAAATTTCCTTTCAGCATCCCATTTTGTTTTTGAAAACCAACCAAATTTCCCTTCTCCAAATGTACAGATAACAGCATTTAGCTTTCTTACTTCACTGAATTTGAAATTTCAGTATGTTGCAGTTTGCAAACATTTATTGAGTGCATGTCATGTATCAGCAGGCATCCTGCTAGGTTTTTACAAGCATTAACTTATTTAATCCTCAATACAAACTTATGGAGTAAGTTTTATAACTGACACTCTTCACATACAACAATGTGACTCATAGAGGTGGAGTAACTTGCCCCAAGTTGCACAGCTAGTCATTGACTGAGCATGGTTTTACACACAGATCTATTTCTTAGATTAGGACACTAGGAAATAGGGCTGAGACTGGGAGCAGGTGCTTGGAGATCAGGAGCAGGTGTTAAAGTAAAACAGCCCTTAAACCAAAGGGGCTGATAACCGCAGGCAAGAACTGGCTTTGACCAGTTCTTGTCAGCTATCTCTGCTACCTTACGTCAACTTTGGCTAATTAAAATACCATTTACATTGTGATTTTAAAATTTCTCTGCCCTTGAAATCACCGTGATAGTTCCAAAGCAACCATATAAAGTATGAAAATGGGAGAAAACCCAATTCTAGGAATTACTACCCAAATTCTTAGTAAAAGCCAACACCTTGGCCTTGAATATTCCTCCCCTCAATTATAATAGTAAGACTACAAAAGATCTAAGACCACTCTCCCTCAGGGCACCTGCTGTTTCTGAGCCTGCTTGCTCTCTTTCCTGAGTGTGTTAATACTTTCATTGTCAATAAAGCTTTCTCTTGCTTAGTTTATGTGGTGCACCCTGCAATTTCTTTTCTGCAAAGAACACCAAGAACTTAGAAAAACCTCCACTCGGAGGCTGGTACATATTAAGTCCCATGTTTTTTAATCATTATGCTATATTGTCACCAATATATTTGTAGCCCATTAACCAATCAAAAAATCAGTTAATTCCTTCTGGGTAGATTGTATTTTAGGAACTTGTAATATGTTTCAGCCTTTGACCCTCATGAAGTTTCCATTCTAGTGGAGAAGACATACATGTAGGAAATAAAAAGTATCAGAGCAACATGTTTCCAGGTAAAATGACACAGATCAAGCTGATTTATCTTATTTTGCGGAATGATTTAACCAATATGCAAATAGTGTCTCTGATATCTACAAACCTTTTGAAAAATATGACACTCCTTTCCATGCTTTTTCTTTCCTTTTTCTTCTGTACCATAGTGTACTATTTCCTTCCCTTCCTGTTTATGAAGGTGCCATTGTATGTAGGTAATTCATCTGATTCAATCCTATATTGTTACATCCCCAGGCTATCTCCCTATTAGGAAAGAACCATTATGGGTTGAGGCAGAGATTAACTTTTTTTATAGTTCAGTTTTTCAAATGAAGACTTTATTTGTCTACCTCAGAGGGTTGTTCTGTGTTAAGAGAAATCACATATTGAAAGCACTTTGTAATATAAAAATTCCGTACAAATACTTGGTTTAGGTTGTTACATTATTTTTTTAAGTTAAATCTTATTTTGTCCCATTATATTGTAAAAGGTCTTATTAGTCATTGCAGTACTATTGTTAGAATAGATACACTTTGATAATATAAAAAATATAAAGAGTTCTTACTTTCTAAGCCAACCCCAAAATCGAAGGCTAGATCACTATTTCTTTACATTAACACATATGAATAAAGCCCTCAGAGTTATGAAGATTTTCCTTAAAGTTTATTCATTCACTAAGTCAATAAACATTTTACTTAGAGTCTATTATGGGACAGATACTATGTTACGTGCTGGGCCATAAAAAAGAACAAGGCATAATCTATTCCTTCAAGGAACAAAGAGCTCCTTAGTTGCCAGGAGTTCTTAATCTCACTTTTTTTTTTTTTTTAAGAGATGGTGTCTCACTGTATTACCCAGGCTTATAGCTCAACGGATTCTGAGTTCAAAGGATCCTTCTGCCTCAGCCTCCCAACTACAGGCACATGCCATCGTGCCCAGCTTAATCTCATTTTATATGCACATATTTTTTATTATAGGTTTTGATGATGTTTGCATCCAATTAGACAGCTTGGACAATAAGTTATACGAGTCTGTTGATTTTATCGAGTAAACTATTGGGCAGTTATCAAGGATTAGCTGATCTGGATCCAGAGGTGCAAACTACTGGTGCATGAGCTAAATTTGGTCCATAGCTGCGTTTTATTTGCACTGTCAAGGGATTTGAAAATGTATTCTTTATTTGCCAGCATCTAAAATTTGAGCAACTTCACATAAAATTATACTTTCTGAATTATGAAAATACTCGAGGATCTCGTGAGACAGCCATCAGCTGGACTGATTGGTGGTTGGCCTTTTTAGACAAGGCAAGGGCTCAAGTTTCTCCAGTGCCCACCTGGCTCGGTCCATTTATTTCCTTTACCTGCCTGGGCGCTGGATACATTTGATCTCTGCCACCTCACCTAGACAGTGCACTTACATAGAATTAAGCAATGGTTTTCTAAAATATGCTTAAGGAGTGATAGCTTATATAGTTTATAATTTTTTCTAATGCAATCAAACAGTCAAATATCTTTAGGTATAATGGTACTTAATCGAAGCTTGAAATACCAGCAATTACTCTGTTTGAATGAGCCTATTAAAAGGAAAGCCCAACACAATTTCTGTATTCACATTCTAGATCTCAATCACACCACACAAAACTTTACTTTCTGAGTCATCACTCCAAGGTACTTATTGCTAATTTAACAGATATGTTTCCTTTTGGAAATACAGCAAGTTCTAGATGCAAGAGATTTGAATGGTATGATAGGTTGCAAGGATGTGTGAAGATAGCTTTATATGGCTTATTCATATGGAGTAAATTTTGATACCACATTTTTTCTGTGGTCAAAAGAAAGACTGACGTTAGAGATAACCAATTCTCACTGCCTAATGTAAAGAGGAATCATTTTGGCTATGTGACTCTTTATTAGTCTTTACTTGTTAAATAACATGGAAACATATTTGCTTTGCAGGTTCTAAAGTTGTCAAAAAATAACCCTGTTTTTGAGCTTTTGGAATAAAATGAATAAGGTATGTATGAATTGCAGTATATTATTTATATCCAGGGATTAATATTACATAATTCAGAGTTGATCTCCCTTGGATATTGTGATAGGCAGAATAATGGCCCCCCAAGGATGTCCACATCTGAATCCCCAGAACCTGTGACTGTTCCAGGGCAAAGGAGAATTTAAATTCCAAATGGAATTAAGGATTGCTAATCAATCTGTTGACTTTAAAATAGGACAATTATTTTGGATTATATGGATAAATCCAACTTAATCACAGATGTCCTTAAAAGTGGAAGAGGAAGGCAGAAGAG